GTATAATCAATACATATGAGTTAAGATATTAAAATGAATAACAAGAAGTGAAACAAACTAGATGCTTACTTTTGCAGTATGGACCTCACGAGGCGCTTTCTTACTTGAGGTAACCGAGCAGAATCAAAGTAGAAGATTGTGTTACTGGAAACACAAATCACAAGTAGGGTCCAATGATAACTACACACGAGACAAACAAATCAATAGTTAGCCTGTTACAACAAATAAACTGGAAAACAAATGAACTTGACTAGCATAATCAAACGTACTCCTCATAGTATGGGACGAATATAAACTTGTCTCCCGCACTCACTGATTGCCTGATACCCCGTTCAGCATAGTACAACACGTCAGCGGAGTTGCCTAAGATTCTAGCAGTGGACATCTTCTCAGGGCACAACCACCCAACTTGACAAGGAGATTCAAGCTCCCATATTTGCTCCAGGAGTGCTCTGCATGCATGATAACACAATGTTAATCGAAAACCAAACGACAAACACCACTAAACTGAATAACATAAATTGAGTACCAGTTGAATTACCTCATGGATATTTGAATGAGGGAAATGTTAAGCATTGCACCACTTAGAAATTCCTTGACATCTTCTTTGAATAGCCATGCCGTTGCATCATCATCGTAGTGGAACATTTCCTTAGGAAGTTTAATTTGGATGGGGCTGTCATTAGGCAACACGCAAACACAGTTGTGCAAATAAGCTAACTCCTGAGATAGCGATTGAAGCACCGTGTCTTCAACTAATGGAGTAGATTGCGTAGCTGAACCTCGTGAAGGGCTCTTCATCGACGCCTTTCCACTCACCGAGCCATGTTCACTCCTGTTCTTTGGCCCCTCCACCCTCTTCTTTGGAGTTTGGCTTTTCCTCGATGGCTAATAAGACAGATCACACAAATGGTTAGAAAAGATTTTCATCCAACTCTTGGGAAGAAAAGATTAAAGCGTGAAATCTAAATCTTAATTACCTGGTTCATCAACCGTATCCAAGCAGATGGCCATTGCACAAAACTACCTTTTGCTGCCCAGAGTGTAGTGAACTCATCCTCCTCCACGGGCACAGGTATTAAGATGTCCTCGAACCCGGGAACCACAGAATGGATCCCGACAGAATAATGCTCAGGCAGAAGAGGTCGAAGATGGACCGCACCTTGTTCGACCGGTTGTGCACTACCATAGGCAACAACATTCAAAGGTCCATCATATGATTCGCCCGGGTGAAGAAATTCACAACGGGTCTCTTCCTGCACCAATTAGGAAGATACTTCATTTAAATATTCATAACTAAGTATCTTAGGTGTAATATAGGAGTTAAATCAAGCATTGAGCTAAAATCATGAAAAATGGGCAAGTTAGAACTCATTTAGGCCATTTTGAACCGTAAATACTCTAAATGAACCTAAAACTTGTGAAATTGCTCTTTTTAGGTTGTTTCAAGCCATAAATATTCATAACTAAGTATCTTAGGTGTAATATAGGAGTTACATCAAGCATTGAGCTAAAATCATGAAAAATGGGCAAGTTAGAACTCATTTAGGCCATTTTGAACCGTAAATACTCTAAATGAACCTAAAACTTGTGAAATTGCTCTTTTTAGGTTGTTTCAAGCCATAAATATTCATAACTAAGTATCTTAGGTGTAATATAGGAGTTACATCAAGCATTGAGCTAAAATCATGAAAAAAGGGCAAGTTAGAACTCATTTAGGCCATTTTGAACCGTAAATACTCTAAATGAACCTAAAACTGGTGAAATTGCTTTTTTTAGGTTGTTTCAAGCCATAAATATTCATAACTAAGTATCTTACGTGCTAGTTAAAAAAAATAATAAAAAAAAACCAAAACGAGTGCAAAAAAAAAAAAAAAAAACCCCGAGCGCGAAGGGCAGCTGCAGCCTCTCCTACCTTCTCGGATTCCCAATGAGAAAGAGAAGGAGAAGGAGAAGGAAAAAGAGAAGGAGAAGGAGAAGAAAGAGAAGGAGGAGGAGGAGGAGAAGGAGAAAGAGAAGGAGGAGGAAGAGAAGGAGAAGGAGAAGGAGAAGGAGAAGAAAGAAAAGGAGGAGGAGGAGGAGAAGGAGAAGGAGAAAGAGAAGGAGGAGGAGGAGGAGAAGGAGAAGGAGAAGGAGAAGGAGAAAGAGAAGGAGGAGGAGAATGAGGAGAAGGAGAAGGAAGAGGAGAATGAGGAGAATGAGAAGGAAGAGCAAACAACAACAACACATCACATCAACAAAGCATACTGACAACACAACACAGCGAACTTGACCATTTCACAGCCAACTTAACCATTTCACAACACAATCCAAAAACAAATATCATTATCCAAACAAGTAATGTAACACCCCAATAATTCTCTTTAAAAGAAAACCTGTAAAAACCTGTGATAACGTGTAAAGCCTGTATAACCTGTAAAACCTGTAAGACCTGTATAACCTGTAAGAGAATTATTGGAGTGCTACCGCCACGTGTTCAAACGTTAAGGCTAGTATCAGAAATCAGCAGCGGAAAACTAACTTAGTTTTAAAAAGAATATAAGCTTCAAAACTGGAAGTCAAAACTCAAAGTCTTACAAGTTGGAACCATAACGACCCTTATTCAAATCCAGTAAAATAGGAAGTAATGGAACCAACACCAAAATAAAATTCAATCTGTGTTATGAAATTAGCTATCTGGTTAACCAACTCTCCACTCAAATCCCATCACCCTGATGCAAGACAATTTATGCAAAAACCTGTGATGAATCTGCTCCCCAATATTAAAAGTATAATAATTGGATCATTACAGGGTCATTGAAGGCGAAGGCCATGACCAAAGAAAACACACAAAAGCACGCAATCAGCAACGCTGAGTACATACAAGCTACGAAATATAGTAAAAAGTCCTAGCATGATTCTAACAAGCATTCCATACGCTCACAATATTGTCATTGACTCGAACACATGACTCAATAGTTACTCATTATTAAGTTTTTATTAAAATAGCATTGATCACTTCATTAATTGATTGGATTAAGCAATAGACCGGGTTGTCCCCCCTGTGCTTCGTTCCGGAACAATAAATAAGAAAACCCTATGCCTCCTTTTGGAAGACATTAATAAAAATCCAATGGCAGACGGGCGCGACTCCGTGGCCATAGCTAGTATGAGATCTCATCTAACTCATTATACTTTAAAAGAATTTAAAACAAGAGACTCGTAGATCAGACGGCCTCTGAAAAAGTGCACGGCTAATACCCCGTGAACCCCAACCCATGTTTGTCATTACTCTAGATGTGCACAAATCCAGAGTTTTATTGCTCATCCTTCTTGCACTTTACGTGATTTACCAGTTTAAAATTTGGTGATAACTCATAGGCAAACAACTCAACCAATCATACATCAATCATTCAAGTTTCCAATTAAATTCTCAATTTATCAGTGACAAACAGCATTTATTATTGCATCCTTTAACTACCTCGGTGTATAAACACCTTAAGTGCATAAGGCACCACAAATTCTCAACTTTGTCTTATAAGACTTTAATTATCCCTTTACTCATTCCATTTCAATACAAACGAACAAGTAATCAAAATAATTCATTATATCTTTGCTTCTAAGCTCACTTTGAACATTATTGCATAAATACTGCTCATAAGGAAAAATCAATGCACATTCTCAAGCATGAATTAAACTAACCATCACATTTATCATCAAACAACTCATTACCAAACAATTCCAACCAATCCACAAGTTCCCTAGCATGATTCTAGGTTTTTCCAAGTCCCTAAACATGCTCCTAAAATCAAGGTTCCTCGTATTCTTGTACGTACCTTGAGTAAACAAATTGATTGGCCACCTTAAAGCTAGAAGTCACCTTCTACGAAGTCCTCTCCTAAACAAAACAACAGTAATTCAATCAATCACCCAAGCAATATATTTTACAGCAATACCAACTACTTTAAAATCCTTTAAATCATCGAAATAATGCTCTTAAATTATTCCCAATAGCCAGAGTTAATATTTAGTACTTGAACCATGAGTTTATATGCTAAAATCATAAAAGTATAGCTTATAGCATAAGATTTCAGCATTTTAAAGTAACATTATAAATCTGAAAATTTAGTTTAAAATTATAAAACAACCGCATAAACATTTTTATTTGAAATAATCGTTATATAGTACGTTAGTATGTTGAGAACTTGAAAACCCATCCTAAAACCATGACTTAAAGCTATTTAAAGTTAAGATTAAAATCTGAAATTTAAGTTTAATAGTAGAATATAGGACTACAACAATCTAAACTTGAAATATATAATTATAATTTAATTAGTTTCATGAAAACTCAATTAAACCTTCAATAAAAATCAAAAACTGCACAAAAACCATACTTAGAAGCTGAATTTGGCCACCGAGAGGGTGGTAATCACTACCAAAGGTAGTGTGTTATGATTAGAACGTCAATTACACACGAAAAACACTATTTTTTGCGAAAATCAGACGAGTTACAGTCAAAATGCGATTAAAACGTGATTAAGAAATTTTACGAACGGAAATTCAGAAATTAGTTACGAAAAATTAAGAACTTGCTGTTGAATTAAGCATTATCATAGTCATAGCAAAATCATGCTCAAAATCATGCTCAAATTAAATAACTTTAGCAACACGTTATTAAGCCCTAAAACCATGAAATCAGGTTTTAAACCCTAATCTCACAAATTATGAAATCTGAAAGTTAATTATATGCTTAACATATCATAAACTCGATAAATTTGCAATCTTTCACAACTCAAAAACATAATCAAACTATAATAATTGTTAATCAACGAAAAATTCATGTAAAGATTAAAGCTTTGAAGAATTTAAACAAGAAAAGAGAGGAAGATAGAAGAGAAGGGAGATGAGAGGAACCGGCTGTGGTGGTACGGGGTTGCAGCGAGGTCGCCGGTGGTGGTTTCCGGTTGAGGCAGCAGCGAAGGGGAGGAAGCAGCGAAATTTTTTTTTTTTATTATTGTGTGTGTGTGTTTCGTGAATGAGGGGAAACAGTGAATGAGGGAGTAATAAGGGGGAAGCTATTTAGGAGGGTTTTTGGGAGGGGTTTACTTTAAAAAATAAACAAGGAGAAATAAGGTAAGTTTACTTAATTAGGAGTAAAAATATGGTTTAAAGATTTTTTTTTTCTTGGTTTTATTTTGTCAAATCTTTCCAAAAGAAAATATTTATACGAGTATAAAATTATTTCAAAATATTGGTATATAAAAAAAATACAATTATTAAAAAAAATATGGGGGATTACAAGTAAGTATAAAATCACCTGTAGAATAGGAAAGTGATGAGGTGTTGGAGTATCAAGCCCCCTTGAGTTCGCATGTGAAGGAGTACCAATCTGCAATAGTGTATTGATAGTGAAACATTAATTAGAACCGTACCCACGTAACTCAACATATCAAAACTTATAGAGTTGAATTCTAATCATGTACCTCCTCGCGTGCATTTATCTCCTGTTCTCCTTCTCTTCGTGGGTGGCTACTTGAGTCGGCCGGTGTTGTCGAGGAAAAGGGCAAGGTCGGCAAATTCATTTGCTTCGCCCATGCATTGAACTCTTCGCGCATCTCATTGCACACTTGTTCTTTAATTGATGCCACTGTGGCATCGAAGTTCTGTGGCGAGTTCACACTTGCTCGGGATCTTCCAGATTTGGTATATTCGGGACCCATTACCTTCTCCCATCCTAGCAAGCTCCCCCCAGCACCTAATACCCGTCCCGGATGGTAGGGCTTTCCCATAGCCAAGGTGAAGGGGTCCTTCTCTACCGTCGGGACGAGCTTGCCTTCAACAAGCTCTCCAATGTACTCAAGCTGTAGCAAAAACAAAATGGCAACATGAAGTAAGTGTTTATATAAAGTGATATACATGCAAATGAATAATGTAGTTCACTAGTTCATAGTTGCTTACTAGCTTATCTGTCATTTCTTTGGTTTCCGGAGCCTTGATGGACCATTTTCCAGTTTTCCAGTTTTCTTGATGGACCAAAGTACTGGTCGTGGAGTCAGACGACGCTGTGGAGGACCCTAGAAGCGCAGTGGGGTATACTCCTTCACTCACCCACGTATCCCTCCATTCATCATACGTCATTGCTCCCATATGATGGTGGTATTGCTTTTGCAATGCATTCTTGGAATTCTGCTCCCTCATTTCCTACATAAAAAGACATGTTAGTTTCATTTCTAATAAAAAAGACGATAAATTACAACACAATTTTCATCAGAGTTATAACTTACAATTTCATCTTTTTTACATTTTTGAAGAACGAAAGCGTCCCAATCATCCTTCGATATGCTAGGCCATATTTTCCATGGGAGTTTCTCTTCATCGATGACATCATCATCACTGCCACCTCCTTTCTTGTTCTTTGGTTTCCTCACAAGTTTCTTTGTGATAAACCGACGAACTATGTTACACTTGAAGCTTCTGAATCTTGCCGCAAGTAAGGATTCAAACACCCTTCGCTTGGCGTACTCATTTGGAATGTTAAATAGACTCTGCAAGCACAAATAACAAACAAGCCTGACCAGCATACTGGTCTTCCATAACATAACATAACAATAAATTGAAATTGTTTATAAATAATGTGGAATCCATAAACTTTACCCTGGTATCATTCCAAAACGTGTCAATCAAGCCTATAGGCACGTCGCTCATACGAAGCGTAATGGGGATTTTGCGCGCACATATCCCAACTTGACCAGCATACTGACGCCGCCATTTACCTGAGGGTTGCCCTACCCTGTCATACTCCAAGACCATAGGACCGACAGGTTTCTTGAAAGCTGTCGTCGGACCCCTCTGCTTTTTCTTCGCTGGTGCCTGCACCCCCCCTCCACTTTGATCCTCACGAAACGGCTCCATAATGGCATTATCGATTGGAGGCGCATTCTCAGCTGCAATTTCAAAGTCATCTATCATTCTCTCCAATACATCTTGCGCCTGATCTTCTGGCTCACCCAAATCAGTTTCCTTGTTCACATCATACGGCTGGTCCCTATCTTTAGATGAATCATCTGAGTTAGATTCAACATCCTCAACTCGAACACGGAATCGATCGTCCGCCATTAGATGTTAAAACCTGTCATTACAAACATAACACGTTATTAGCTGCTGAATTGTAAGGTAAACTTATAATCATATATAAATTGCTGAATTATAATACAAATAAACATAGAAAATGGTGATGCAAGTTAATTTATTCATTTAAAAGAATATAAGAAAAATGGGCAAGTAATTCAACAATTTCATTCATTTTCACCAAAAATGTGATTTTTAAATTCTTTCTACGCCTGCAATTCAAACTAACAGAAATATACAGTACCTCAATCTAATATTCCTTCATCGTGGTCTGATCTCGTGTTATTGGCTTGGTCGTCTTTATCATTTGGCACAGCAGGTCTAGGAACAGTGAAAGGTGCCGAGTCATCAAAGGCATCATATTCTTCCTCATCCTTGACATCTCCAACGCCAAGGATTCTTCTTTTGTCGGCTAGCACAATAGACCATTTTGAGTCGGCAGGGTCAGATACGTAAAACACCTGCTTAGCTTGAGATGCAAGGATGAATGGTTCCGCACTATCATTCAGGTTGCCAAGATCTACAAGAGTAAAGTCATCAAATTTGATGTTACGCCTGATATTATCAACCCACTTACACCGGAAAAGAGCAATCGTGAAGTCACAATAATCAAGCTCCCATATTTCTTGAATTCGACCGTAGTATGACAACTCTGCATCAACGGGTGATTTATCCTTAGCACTTGCAAACTCCCTTGACGATGCCACAACCATTACACCACTGTTTTGGGTCGAGGATGATTTCAAATCTTGACGCTCAGTCCAAAATGTGTACCCATTTATGTCATATCCCTCAAATGAGCGAACATCATCCCTAGGACCATAAGCAAGCCACCTTACTGTAGCTGTGACACTCTCATCCATTCCACCCATCACTCGATCACGAAACCAACTCACAAACTTCTTGTTGTACAACTGCATCAGTGCCCTTTCACCTTTCGACGGAAACTCATCACGCAAACTAGCCATGTGCTCGTCTAAATATGGGTGAACATCTGCAACATGGTGCAATACATAAAGGTGTGCTTGTAAGAACTGCTCTCGATCAGGTGACATTCGTTTCGACCCGATTGTGCCATGACCATCAAGTCTACCTTCATGTTGAGAAGTAGGAATACCAATAGGTTCAGCAACGGCTATATAGTCGGCCACAAAATTACCAATCTCCTCGGCCACGGTCCCTTGAATCATACTTCCTTCCGGGTGAGCCCGATTCCTAACTTTATCTTGCAATGTACCCATGTGTCTTTCAAAAGGATAGCACCACCTCGTGAACACTGGACCGCACAACTTAATCTCACGCACCAAATGAAGAATCAAATGCACCATTATGTCGAAAAACGAGGGCGGGAAGTACATCTCAAATTTGCACAAAGTCACAACCACATCCGCCTGTAAAGCATCAAGGGTAAAAGGATCAAGCACTTTGCTACATATTGTATTGAAAAACGAACAGAGGCTTGTAATAGCTTCCCTCACGTGCTTTGGCAAAATACCACGTATTGCAATTGGTAGAAAAACTTGCATCAGAACATGACAATCATGGGATTTCATACTTGTCAGCTTCAATTCTCCATTTAAGGATACAAATCTTTTCATGTTAGATGCCCTGATGGAACCTTAATGCCATACAGACATTCACAAAATATCCGTTTTTCTACCCTTGACAATGTGTAGCAAGCCAGAGGTAAATAGGCCTTCCCCTCTTTGGCTTTTCCCTCATTTTTCTTCTTCGACGCATCCGCGGCCTTTCCCTTTCCCTTGCTCTTCCCCTTTCCCTTTTTCGAACCCATTTCTTTTTCCTTTTCCTGTTCCTTTCCCTTACTAACCCTTTGCTGAACCCACAATTCTTGACGCACCCCCATCTTTTCCAAATCTAAACGTGCACCCTTTCCGTCCTTTGTCTTGTTTTGAATATTCATCAGCGTTCCCACAAGAGCGTCACACACATTCTTCTCTATATGAATTACATCAAGACAATGCCTAACGTCATGTTCTTTCCAGTACGGGAGCAACCAAAAGATTGATTCTTTTTTAAAGAGAGCAAATGATTCCGCCGCTTTTTCAGATTTCCCAAATACTGTTCGTACACCCTTGACCCGAGCGTAAACCTCCTCACCAGTCAGTGGCCTAGGAGCAGTCCCCTCCTCCACCGTCCCATCGAAAGCCTTTTTCTGCCGACGGTACGGGTGATCGCGCCTGAGCAACCTTCTTGTCCTCAAATACACCTGTTTGAAAGAATGATCAAGGCGTCTGCTTGGCGTATCATCAATACAAATAGGACATGCCTTTTTCCCTTTATTCTTATACCCAGACAAGTTGCCATATGCAGGAAAATCATTAACGGTCCACATAAGAGCTGCACCCAATGTGAACATCTCATTCTTATGAGCATCAAACACGGAAACCCCTTCGTCCCACATCTTTCTCAAATCATCAACCAATGGCGCAAGATACACATCAATGTCGTTTCCAAGTTGCCTTGGCCCCGATATCAAGAGTGAAAGCATTACATATTTTCGTTTCATGCACAACCAAGGAGGCAAATTGTAGATCACTAAAAGTACCGGCCATGTGCTGTGCTGGTTACTAAGAGTGCCAAATGGATTCATCCCGTCCGTGCACAAACCAAGCCTTAAATTTCTGACTTCATCACCAAATTCCCCAAACTTCATATCAAGGTTCTTCCATTGCGGGGAGTCGGCTGGGTGCTTCAGCATTCTGTTTTTCTTTCTTCCCTCTGCATGCCACCTCAAGTTCTTAGCGTCTTTTGGTAAAGAGAACAGACGCTTAAACCTAGGAATTATGGGAAGATACCACAACACCTTAGCAGGAGGTCCCTTCGTACCAGCATTGCAACTCTTGCGCTTGTAGCGCGACTTCTTGCATCTTGGACACTCCTCCAATTTTTCATATTCATTTCGGTAAAGAATACAATCATTAAGACATGCATGTATCTTCTTATACTCCAAACCAAATGGACACATGAGCTTCTTAGCGTAATAGTAAGACTTAGGAATTTCATTCCCATCTGGCAACATCTCACTTAACACGCTCAACAAGGAAGTAAAACTACTGTCCGTCCACCCATGCTTCGACTTAATGTTAAAAAGAGTTAGCACGGCTGATAGTTTGGAGTATTTTTTGCACCCAGGATACAAAGGCTTTTTAGAAGCCTCCGATAATGACTCAAACACGTCACCTTCAAAACCACGCATCATCTCATCCACACCTTCATCCTCAACCTCATCCACATGATCATCCTCAAATCCCTCCTCAGCACCATCATCATCAATATGTTCATCATTCTTGTATTCCTCGTCCACACGGATATCATTGCTTCTATCATCATGCACATCATACCCAATAACATCCCCACTGTACTCTCCTTCTTCACCATGCCAAATCCACACATGATATTTAACCCTAAACCCACGACAAACTACATGATCTCTAATGATATCAACACTATTTACCACCTTCACATTATTACAATCAACACAAGGACAATAGAGGCACTCGAAACCCATTCTGCGCTGATAAGATGAAGCCGTCTCGCAGAACTCTTGAACCCCATTAAAGAATTCTAATTTATCACGTCTACCATACATCCATCCACGATCCCTCTCCATTAAGTAAATTGTCTCTAAACATGGCAACATATTACGAATAATGTATAATTGCTACATCTATTATATATACAAATCAAATTCAAA